TCCAAATGTTCTCAGCTGATACCTGGGCTGACTGGCTCAGCACAGAAGTGTCTTTTTGTGTGTTGTACTTGTTGAGCATTGGCATGCCACTGCAGATGGATAAAGCCACTGCAATAACTCAATATAAGGAAAAGTTGTGATAGCCAGGACTTTCTATAGTTTAGAGGGAAAGGCAATAAAGGGACATAATAGAGGTTTAACAATATGAATAGTGTTGAGAATATGTATAGGAAGATGTTTTTCCCCTCTCCTAAAACTGGAACTGGGAACTGGCCAGTGAAATTTAAGATTAAATACATATGAAATAAGTTACTTCTTTCACACAGCATATAAACAGTTGAATTTGCTTGTACCAGAAGGCTATGAACCTGGAAACTTTGAAAGGGCACTAGGTACATGAAATGAGGACAAGGCTGTCAGCAGAGGTAGAAACCTGAGTTGCAGGATTTGCTGTCAAGACGCACTTAAGTCACACCGGTGACTTGACTCAGACTTGACTCTGTTTTTTCTTTCTTTCTTCCAATGAATTGCAACTCCCATCCCTCCCATTTTTTGGAGAAAAAAGTTTGTTTTTAATGGGGACTCAGACTTGGTGCTTGGGACTTGGTGCCACAGACTCAGACTCAGACTTGGGGCTTGGACATAAAGACTTGCCAACATCCCTGGATATCAGCCATTGCGGGTTGTGGGGGCTTCATGTAACCTCCATTATTGGAGGCAGTTATGCCTCTGCACAACTTTGTTTGGGAATACAAAGCAGGTGAGAAAAGGAGGTACTATTGTACTCATAACCATTTTGGGTCCTTTTGGGGAGAAAGGTGGGCTAGGTAAAGGTAAAGGTTCCCCTTGACAATTTTGTCCAGTCGTGTCCGACTCTAGGGGGCGGTGCTCATCTCCGTTCCAACCCATAGAGCTAGCATTTCTCCGAAGACAGTTTCCATGGTCACGTGGCCAGGGCGATTAGACATGAAATGCCGTTATCTTCCCACTGTCGTGGTACCTATTTATCTACTTGCATTTGTATGTTTTCAAACTGCTAGGTTGGCAGGAGCTAGGACAAGTGGCGGGCGCTCACTCTGTCACGTGGATTCGATTTTATGACTGCAGGTCTTCTGACCCTGCAGCACAGAGACTTCTGCAGTTTAACCCGCAGCGCCACCACGTCCCCACGAAAGGTGGGATAGAAATATTTTAAACCAACCAACCAACATGCCTGCCTGCCTACCTCCTTTGCTTCTGGGCAGCTCATAAATATCTTGCTGGACTACATAGAACAGGGGTCTCAAACATGCGGCCCGGGGGCCACTTGCGGCCCACCGGCTGATAGTTTGTGGCCCCCGCCTTGCCTGTCCCCCTGAAGCGCCCACATGTCCTCTGCTGTCAAGAGTCAAAAAAGCCTCGCCTCACTTGCCAGCTGTCTTCCAAGACAGCGCCTCTTGCACCCTCCATCCGGAACTGCAGCCTGCCAGCCAGCCCACCTGAGTGTGCCTTTTTTTAAGGGGGGCCCTCAGAGGAAGGTTGCTGAACCTCCGCGTGTGTGTGTGTGTGTGGTGTGTGTGTGTGTGTGTGTACGCGCGCACACCTGTGGAGGCCCACCCCGGTCTGTCTAATATCGTGGGAGGCTTTGGCAAGCCGTTTCTGTGAGTTTTCTTTTTTAATTATGTCATGCCCTCCTTCTCCCGCCAGTGCTCCCTTCCTTTTCCACTTCTTCATCCTGCTGTTGCTGGTGGTGGTGGTAGTGAAGAAGGAGCTGGAGGGGGTCGTGGCTGGTGACAAGGGCTCGCGTGCCCCTCCTTCTCCTCCTCCTCCTTGGAGCCCCTTAGGCTTTTGCTCCGCTTGGCAGAAAATCTGATGCGGCTCAGCCTTACCCAGACTCTGCCTCCAGCGGCCCCAGGTAAATTGAGTTTGAGACCCCTGACGTAGACCTTGGACTCAGCCAGCATGGCTCTTCTTATGTTCTTAGCATGATATACTGTATTAGCATTTGATATACAAACAGCTAAACCCTCAGAGGAAAATCCTAGTCAATTCTGCTGTTTTTTTTAAAAAATGAATGTTAATAAGTTAATGTTAATAAGATATATTTTCAAATAAATATAATACAAATTGAATGTGATCATACCAGGAGTTCTGCTTAGAGCAGTTATCCAGGGGGCATCTCTCTGGCAATGTGAACCTATTGATTATGTTAAAAACTGAGCACACCCATTATGATTTTTAAAATTATTATTCTTTGAACACCAAAATGTAGCCTGTGACAGTCACCGCCTTGCCCTCTGAGCATGTGTGAATCCTAGGTAGTCATGATCTGGGCCCATGATTGTTGGACCAACTCAAAACCCAGGATACGATTTTAAAATAATACTAGAGATTATATATCTTGTGCAGATATTATGAGAATAAATGAATCTACCCTGTTTTCCCTAAAATAAGACCGAACCTGAAAATAAGCTCTAGTATGATTTCTCAGGATGCTCGTAATATAAATCCTCCTCCAAAAATAAGCCCTAATTAAGTGAAACCTCGCCCTCCACCATTGTGCAGCAACCAAAAGATGACATGACTGTATCTGAATAAATTTAGATGGTTGTACATGACAAAAATAAAACATCCCTTGAAAATAAGCCCTAGTGTGTTTTTGGAGCAAAAATTAGTATAATACCCTGTCTTATTTTCGGGGAAACAGGGTAGCATGAAAGTGCTGTGGAGTAAATTGTTTTGTGTACATACAAAATTGTATTCCATTCAAGCCAGTTTTATTTAGTACATCCAGAGGCATTCCAACAAGATCTAATTCCTTGACAAACGTAATCTTTTTGATCTCTTTGATTCTGAGTCACAATTATTAAAGAGCAAACTTGTGGAAAACACATCTTCCATTCTTCATTTTCAAAATGGTTGATCATATATAATACACGGTGGTCTTCTGTCTTTTGACATGTCAGCTAACATTAACAATGGAAATGTGGAAGAGCCTTAGCAAGAGTACAGTCACAGGGCCATAATTGTTAAGGTATGTGAGAGGTGAGGGTCACAAATTTAGCTTTCTTCATCTGTATATTCCATTGTTTTGTTAAGGAAGTGAACTAAAGAAAAACAAAAGCCTAGTATTGCAGGAGTGGTGATTCTGGACATAACATATAGTCCCACTATAGAAATGTGTGTATGCTTGCTGGTATTTGTTCATACACCCGAGTTTCCTCAATATTTTTTTTCTAAGATAAATTGCTGATTATCCTGAATTATGTTTATAAAACTACTGATGCCAGTAAAGTTTTATTGAAAAGATGTTGTAGTGGAATATTGCCAGTATTTCTGTTCTTTCGAGTTCTTTACTACAGAAGGAATCGTTTGAATGTATTGGCTTGGGGGGGGCAGGAGTAGTAAACATCTATATGTATAAGCCTCTGTTTATCTGTATTGAATTTAGACTGCTGGAAATGGCTAGTGGTTTGAAGTCTTTTTGTGAAGTCTTTTTGTGAAAAACTGAATCCTACAATAAAAAAAATACAGTGTTGTCTTGGCAAGGTGTACCTTCCATATACATATGTCAAATCTTCCAATTCTCCATAGGAGATTTGAAGGGCAAGGAGGAGGTAGAGAAATTTATAGTGTTTCATCAGTAGTGTCTATTATGGTGTTAGATGGATGCCAGAAAGTCTGAAAACATCTGCATTAAAACCAAAAATCAGTTGTGTTTTTAGAAGAGGCAGAAAATACTGCTTCATCATCCTTAACAGTAATTGCTAAAGGTGCTTAAAGGGCAAATCAAGCACACCACATCTGTTAATGAACATTTTGTACTGTATCCTATTTTATGGCCGAAACACAAGAGAAAATGAATCATACTCTAGATCTCTGCCAATAATGAAATCTCTAATTCGATTTTAAAATCTCTAATTGTAAATTTTAAAATCTCTAATTGTAATTTTAAAAAAGGACTTAATTTTGTAGTTATAAAAAGTGCAAAGTAGCATGTTGTACTTAACTTGCAGATGGGGGTTCTGTTGGAATATGCTAGGAAGACTGATAGAACTCTGGGACTGGAAAGAAGTATTCCTCTATTCAATTTAGTGAACTCAGTCAGAAACCTGTGTTTCTCATTCACCTGCAAAAACAAAAATTAGGAATAAATAAGAGCATAGTTCTTTGGCAATCAAATGAGAGCTTAGTTCTTTGACAATCCAATCCTATGTTCTTGCAACTCAGTATTAAAATGTTTCTTCCTATGTGTTTTAAAGCTAAGGCAGGTGTCACTGGCATCATTGTGAGGCTATGTATGAGTTCAATACCTTTCTACTTTGAAACTTTTGGGAGAACCCATTACTTATTGGCTAGAGCCCAAACAAAACAAACAAACAAAAAACCTTAGGTAGTATTTAAAATTTTCACTTCTTTTGGTAGAATCCTGCAGTCTAAACAGACTAAAATATAAGGAAATGTGCACTGTGTGGATTATATTCATAAGAGTAATATGAAAATTATGTGATGTTAGGAAAAATAGGTTTTGTTATATATTTTAGGAAAAACTGCATATAGAACTGTGTTTTAAGAAATACACACAAAAATGTGTACAACTGTTTATGCAGACTTTGAAGTGTGAAGAAGTGAAGTGGACAGTTTTGTCCATCTGTGCTCCAGACATGACCTTTTGTATTGTAACAGCAGCTTAGAATCTTAAAGTGAGGTGTGGGAAAGGGCAAGATTTAGTGAGCTGAATGTACAAGCTGTTTATCAGAAGTTTCCCAGATCAGTAAGTACAATATTAGTTGGTAAGGAGCTGAAACTAGTTTTAAAGATTTGAAAAGTCCTCCTTTGTACTAGATTGAACCAGTTTAAAAAGTATTTGAACTGCACTGAACTTTTGATTCCCTGAAAGTCTAAGTGATTTTACAGTTAAAGCTTTCTTTAGCATTATAAAAAGTAGATTTCAAATTGCCTTTTCTCTTTATTATTCTCATTCCTTTTAAAAGCCTTTCTCTTTGCCTTGTTTTCTCTAGATCTTCTTCATGATCCATGACTTGGATGAAAATGTCTGGGAGCATCGCCAGTTTCTCCTGCCTCCTGTCTCTTGTACACTCTTAAATTCATCTAAATGTGTGCCATTTCTGATGGTACGTCTTTATGGTCTACAGTGTGTCATGAAATGCTCATGACTTGGATACATTGCCACACTTGTCTCTCTGTCAAAGAAGTGCAGAAGCCTGTGTTGGATACAGCAGGCTCAGTCAACTGAATACTGCACCCCAGACTTATTCTCAAAGGTAGGACGGCTGTAGGCAATTGAAAAGAATGGAAATATATTTGTAAGATTATATTTATGAGATAACATGTTTCTCCTGTTGACATATGTGAAGAAAATGGCACTGTATCTGGTAAGGATTACATGGATTTAAGGAGACTTACCTAAAAAACCAAGTTGGTTGAATATGGCAGTGAACTGGGAACCTGGCTGTAAAGCCAAAAATTGACAGTTCAGTTCCCAAGTGTGCTTCCCAGGACAATAGCCAGTCTGTGTGATCTTGGGCAAGCTGCACAGTCCCAAAATAAGGAAATGGCAAACCACCTCCAGGCACTCTACTTTGAAAACCCCAAAAACAACTGTCAGAACCCTTGTCAGAAGTTGGAATCAATTTGGCAGATTGTACTTATTATTATTATTACCTAGAAAATAGATCTCAGGAAAATGTGTGTATGTCGTGTGCACAGGAGTGCCCTTTTAGATCATTAAAATTGTCATTGTTCTTCTAGAATTAAAACTTCTAAAATTAAAAAGCAATGAGACTTATTTTTAGTATACAGCCAATTTTAATTTTCTGCTTTGGGTTAATCCACCATAAGATATTTCTTATGGTGTTGAAGATAATGCATTTCTGCAGAAATGCATGCTCTTTTAAGAGAAATGCTGGATGGATTATTAATATTTTATACCTATTATTGTACACTGAAGAGTTGTCAGAGCTGAATTTTTTTGTTCAGTCCAGCCCATCTCACATCTTGTTGCAAAATTGTCTTTCAGTGTGCATCTAATAGAAATTTATATCACATAGTGAATTCTAAGGTAATATCCTCAGTGAATCAATTTGAATCAGCCTGTATGATGTTATTTATATATGTGTAGAACATAGTAGTTCTTCAGGCTCCTGTTACTATTTTGTTACTTCCCAGTACAAATCTGCAGGGGAAGAGAACATACTGTGTTATCTACAGTCAATCAGCTATAGGCTTTCAAACTGCATTGTGTCATCATTTTTTTCTTATTTTACTTAATTACTGTCCTTCATCTACTAAACTTCAGGGTGATTCACAATATCATAAAAAGCAAAGCAATGTGATATAATGCAATATATGGTAAGAACTGCAAAAAAGATGAGAACAGAAAATTAAATAGATGTACGTCTATATACTGTATCCAGGTTTTGTAGATTATCCTTTGGTAGATCTAAAAACAAAAGAAGTCAGAGAACAGTCCTCATTTACTGGATTACAAGTAATCTTTATCTTTTGAATGTAAGATTGCATAGGACTGAGATCTGGCCCATATGCAAGAATGACCCAACCTCTATTACCTCCTGTCTTTCTTCTACTCCCATTTTATTCAGTATGCCTGAAGAAACTTCCCCATCTTTCCTCAAGTTGGTTTTCCAGGCATGTATAATGTCCATCCTTAAATCTCTATTGTGCACCACCCTAGTAGCCTTTAAATTGTCTCCTTTCTGTGGCCTGATAGTACAGTTGGTGGTATGTAGTTAGACAACATTGGAATTGGTGCTCAAAGTCCAGAAATGGTTGGTCAGGACACTGGTTATTGATGGTCTTGGTTGGTTAGGACGCTGTTAACTGCTAACATTATGCACATCCACAAAACATGATGCTTCTGGTATTTTTGTTGAGAATCTAGGCTGGTGTTAGAAAGAGAAAAATGAACCATGCCAGCAGGAGCCCTGAATGAATAAATCACATGCCTGAAGAGGAAGTGGAGCACAAGACAAAACACTGCTGTAAATAATATGGCCCCTTTCCAGACATGTTTATCTGTCTTCCAGCTTTAACTGTTGTTTTTTTAAAAAAAAAAAACTGAAGGACAAGACCAAAGGTTCAAAGTGCAGTATTCTTTTTTTGCAACTGTGGTGGCTTGATTGATGGTGGAAAACCATTGTGCCAACCATTATGGCAACAGTGTTGTGTGCGCCCATTATCTACTGTACAGAGATGGACTGTTGTGAGTTTGGAATATGAATTTAAATGTTGGTGAGGTGTGATGTTGTGCTTAGAGCATCAGACGTGGGACTGGGGAGACTTGAATTTGGATATACATAGCCACTGAGTTCCTTCACATGAATTACTTTATAGGATTTTTGAGAGAATGAAATGGTTGAGCGGAGAACTTGGAGGAAATGCATATTTTTACCTCGCCTTTCTCTTTAAATGATCCAAAAGGATAAAAAAAAAGCAATATGTACAACCTTAAGTGCCTGTTGATAGGCATGTATTTGAATTTTCATTATCCATTTTTAAGACTTTGAAGTTATGGACTGATGGACATGAAAAGTATGATAGCGTGATCATCCCAACACTCCCTGAAAGAAAAAAATATTTCATCCCCTCTTCTCCATGGCTAATTTCAACGTTTGGAAAAGTTAGCGTTTGAACTACAACAGATTTAGATATTTGGGAATTATGAGAATTGTAATCCAAAAGGTAACCATTTGAAGTTCCAGCTAGTCTGCAGATCAGTTTTTGTCTAATGTTTTCATTTTCTAGAGTCAATTTCTTCTTGTTGGTAAAGTGGAATGCATACCTTGTCAAAGCTATAGTATTTGTTTCAGGTACAAAAAGGGAAAGAAAAGAAAACCCATTGAGCCTACTGTTTGAAAAATACAGCATTTCTTCAGGGTCAGTGCCCACTTACGGTATGATAACTAAGTGGAGCAAATATTCTTCATAATGGACTACTGTTTTCAAAATGCAAAATAATTTCACATTCATGTTGTAAAGGCAGCTCATTTATTCATTAGTTTTATTCATTCATTTACCTCTAAATATATATGGTGCTTCATTCCAAAACATTGAGATCAGGACTGAACCACTACATTTTAATTTTGAAATTACTTTTAAAGTCAGATTCAGTAGAGTTCAGAGATTCTACTCCACCCTAGGTTTGAAGTCCAAAGCTGCATGGGACCAATGAGAGGTTCTCCACCAGCCTGTTTTTGCAACTTCATGTCTCCCCGTGCAACATATGGTTCTAGTACTTGATGAGGACAAAAAAGTGGTAACCCCATTACCTTACTCTTGCATTTCAACCTGGTACTGTTCATTATTAGCAACATTTAAGATTGTTTCATGAACATGTTTCAATAGTTTCTAGGGAGAAAGAGGCCTGGCACAAGTGAAATCTTCACTGCTTGCCCAGGGAGTTTAAATAAGAAATCCCCATGTCCCTCATCTTTAGATTTTTCATCTGCAGTCTTTCCCTGAGAGAATCTAAAAGAACAAAAAAAAGAGTATGGAGGCTTCTAATCCTTGCTTCTCTTTTAAGGTGGGAGTTAACAAGCTCCGGTAATTTTAGTTTTGGGAAATTTAATACAGGTGAGGATTAGATTGAAAGGCATGGAAGTTCTTAAACCCAAGCCGCCTAGAGTGGTCGAAATGACTAGATAGGTGGGGTATAAATACAATCAATCAATCAATCAATCAATCAATCAATCAATCAATCAATCAATCAATCAATCAATCAAATAAATAAATAAATA